TTCTTATCCCGGGTTTCGAGATTCGCAATGCCGGTAGTAGTTTCAATTACGGCGCCGGTGCCCGACAATACTAGGGATACAATGATGACCGCGGTATCGCACGAATACCGTTATTACGCACCGTTTTATACGGGTCACAAAACCGGCGTAAAGTTTTCTGGGTAATGGAGAACGGATTAACAATGGAACACGTTCAGGAAATGCACCGAATGATTGGTACGTTATTTCAGAGTTGCCTCGTGAAAAATTACAACCGCCATCGTTGCGCTTTGCGTTCCTCGTTATCGAAGATAATAGATACGATTAAATTTGTAACTCGGCGAGTACCGGTCGCTTTAACTTTACAACTTTATCGAAACGACGATAAATGTGTTATCGAACGGATTAAAGCAAAAAAAAATATTAACATGCGGGTGCCCCGTTGACGCAACAAACTGTACAAATTAGTCAGCTATCGTGCAATCAGTACACTGAAATTATCGATCCGTTTCGCGTATCGAGCATCCCGCATCCGATAAAACGTCGCAACGTCGGAAGAACGCGTAGCGTTACAAATCGAATAACAAGAGGTCTGCGTGGTTCATCGAAAGCCCTGAACTGCACGGGTCGAATGTCGCGAACAATTCTCGTTAAAGCTCAACGAGCAGTCTTTAAAGGTTTCTGGTACCGGTGACAATAGTCCACTGCGAGTAAACGATATTTCGTAAAGTACGTAAACGTAGGAAAAGAAGAAACCGAGGAAAAAGTCTCTCAAGTTTTACTCTCATGGAGTGTGTATTCTCGTTGCGCAGACTTTCGGTTTACGGTTAAAGAACAGCGTGTAAAAAAGATGTCAGAGGCGTGCGACGTTGTTATTGTGTGTAGATAATTGGGAACGCGACGAGCACAGTTTACGATGCGTTACCAGCAGTGCAACGATTTCTACGAGGTTTTCAGTGAAATCGCTCGTTCAGATGATACTCGCGAGTCCCGCGACTACGCGCGAAAAGTAACAGGCAGCATCTGTCTTATCATTCAATTACCAAGGGAATCTACGACCTTGCGCCTTATCGAGAAAACGGAACGCAACTTATTTACTATTCGTCGTCTATGTACTTCCCCCCTTATTCTTCGCGATCTTTCGTCGCCCATTTAAGCTTCTTCGTTCCTGAATTAATTAACAGAGAGAGCCTTTGTACCGAATTAATTTCACAATTTATTTCCTCGTAAATTTAAATTTAAATTGAACGATGAAAATGAATTACTCTTTTGCTGCGTGAACTTTATTCCAAGTACATCTCGTCGAACTTTCGGAGCTGAACGTTCACATTTCGTAATTGTTAATATAATAACGATTTATTCGATCGAACGGTTCAGATTGTAACGTTCGTTCAACAAGCAACGCGCGAAACATCGTTTATCTTTTATTCCGTATCTGAAATTTTTACACAGATAAGATTTTTGCCCATTGCTAGCTGGGACTCGTAACGAGCACGTAATCTTTCTCAAATAACGAAAAAAGACGAAACGGATGATTGCCATATTTCAAATTGGTTCTTTTCTAAAACTGGTTCCGTCGTACGCCTCGAATGTATGCAAGTATACATATAGAGGTCTGCGGTAAAGCGTTTATCCCTACCTCTAATGGCGCCCCTGACTCAAGTACACATCATTTTTGCACAGTATCATCTCGCCGAGTATTTTCACGGTTTTTCCTAATAAAATTAACCTAATAAGCACGATAAAATTTCGTAATTTTCTCTGAAATCGTTGCGACCAGAAACGCTTTAAACGCTTTAAGAAAAATTACGCAGCAACTATTTTTGTGAAATACACAAAGTTTTTTTGAAGTGACACGCCTTTGAAGTTCACTGGGTAAAAAAAAGTTACGTTTCACGTGCACCGGTTTAACGTAAATTGCCCTTTTTAACCGACCCCGTTCCCTATTCACCGTTTATTTCGCTTTTCAAACGTAGTCTCGTTCGCCTTCCGTCGGTTTCTATCCGCGTCATTTTCCAATGTCGTAATAGCCATGAGACGATAAGGTCGTATTGTATACGTTACGACATTTAACGCGATCCGTTGTTAAAATCCGTTCGCGTGGAATTAATCGCGAAACGAATGCGACGGTCGACGAGTAGAAAAATAAAAAAGTATCGTCGCGGAACCGACGAATTCGAAAACAGTGGCGGATATAGTGCATAAAATATGAGGCTGCTCCGCGGTTCTACCACTTCGCGCATAATTAACGCGAGACGGAGAAAAGAGCAATCCGTCGAGGATACGTTTGTAGCAACACGAGTATTTCTGCTTCGAAGCGCCTAATTTGATCGTTGTGATGCGGTGCTTTCCAAAGTAGAGGTTGCGATCTTTGAGTCGGGGTTTCTCAAAGTTAACGGCTAACCGTTCGGCAAGTATAACTCTCCTCTGTTAACCGCAGCGATCAGAGACCAAGTTTTGAGAACAAATCATTCGGACAAGTTGAACCATCTCGCACGTTCTACTTTCTAATCCACGGACAACGCATGTGTTATCTCAACGTGAATCACCCAAAGCAATCTTATCCGTTATTTAAATAACTTCTTACAAAAATATTCTCGGTTGTTGGAAAATATACGACACTGGTATCGAAGATAACGATCCGCGAACGACTTTATTGGAAATCCCATATATAGTACTCGTTATTAATAGCGATCGGCACCAAACGTTTTCGTAAATATTCGCCGGAAAATTGGCCAATCCGTGTGCAACGAACATTAACGACGTTAAAATGCTCCGAGACAGGGAAAATATGATACGAGCGACAAATCAGAAGCACCGTGTAGCAATTTGTAAGAAATTAATCGATTAATTGAATCTAAAATTTGAAAGGTATCGCCACGGAAAAATCTCTGTTCCCTTTTTGCACGTTAATTCGATTCGTTCCACCGTAAATCGCGTTTAACTGTCCAATTTTATTAACGGACGCTAAAAATAATCGTATAAATTGTGAAAACGAACGCACGCACACCCCCCCCCCACCCCACCCCGTCCCCGTTTTTATTCGAAAATGTAACGCTGTTACGTTGACCCCGCGTTGATACTCAAGCATCGAAAATTCATTTGCCAAACGGTGTTCCACGCTACGCGCAATTTTACCAAATTCCTGTACTTTGCGTGTAATGAAATTGTATCGCATTCCGATTAGCCGATGGCGTATCGTTCGCATATTTATCGTTAACGATCAACCAAAATGCACTACCCGCTCCCCACAAACGTTTCTAATGCGATTCCGTGAATATCATTCTCGCAACGAGCCACGATAGTTCGCGAGCCTATCGTACTTATTTGAATTACAATAATCAATTGGAATTATCGGAGTACTCGTCGTGGGATTCAAAGATAAATGAAATTCCGAGGGGTCCGTAAAAAAATAAAAAAAATAAAAAAAAAAAAACATTTTCAACAGAGGTTTAACACGTTGATCGACACGACGGTGCTTTTCACTGAAAAACGAGAACTATTCATTCTGAAAGTTAAGTGTCATGGAAAATGAATTTAAACGAAACACTTGAATTCTGATGCAGTTACAGAACTGAATACCAAAATAAATATATCGCGTTACGCTGTTTCCAAAAGTCCGTAAAGAAAACGAAGTCGCAGTAGAAATTTTCAAGAGTATCAGTCTGCCAGCGAACGTGTTCAGCGACAAACAAACGAAATAGTTTGATGTGTCGTTAAACGTTGCTGGAATTTGCGGTCGTAACTGCAGAAAGAGAGGATCTACGTAGACGTGTCCTTGGAGGTCGAGTAACAGCGTCGTCTTCAACCGGTCAACTCGCTCGTCACCCTGAACGAACTTCGCCGCGGACCTTTCACTCGTGTTATTAATCATTATAAAAGTATGCTGCGCTTGCCTATTTAACAGTCCGACGAGAAAGAAACCGGCTTCCCTTCGTGAATAATTTATGTATGTCTCTTGACGAATGTTACTCGCGGGAATTCTTATTGGTATTCGTCGCGTTCTCGTTTGCTGTTCGGGTGTAGTACCCTCGTCGATCGAATTTCATCGCGAACCGTTTTCGAATGATGCTTATAACGTTCCACGGTTAGGGGGACCGACGGTAGACCTTGAGAATACAGTAAAAGACGAGCAGGTGTGCCGCATTCCTTTAAACGGAACACCGACGTAGCCGGCAAGAATAAGATTACTCGTTTCACGACCGGATCAGCAAGAAGAACAAAACGGAATCCGCGTGTACGGTTCTCAAAGGTGAATCGAACGCTTAATGCACGCACGGGAATTGTGTGGACAGTGGCGAAACTTGGAAACAATCTGACAAACACGTTAAAATACAAAACGCGCCGAGCCAGTGAATATAGCGTGTAGGCTTCGCGTTGCCGCTTTACGACGTCTCGTTTCGCGACGATTCACGCTTACAACACTTTTCAATTAACTAGAAACTGTACAATTGCTTGTTCCGGCACGAATGCAAATGTACGGACGGCTAGGTTTTTTTTTAAATAGGATACGATCCTTTGATACGTTTGTAGAAAGTTTTATCGACATTGGTGCCGCAGCTCGCGACGTTATCTCGCAAGTGTGACAAATTGGCTGCGATGATTCGGTTCGATTCTTTGAATTGTCAATTAAACGTTATTTAGCTCGCTTAAATTGCGCGCATATGTTACGCATTCATACTTTCGACTATTCGTTAAGAAAACTTGTTTTACACGATTTTCGGGAGTCTACTCGATTAGAATTATCGCTAACAACGTCGTTTTAAATTCCTCGCCAAATAAGTCACTCGGTTACATTTTTCGAATACATTATCTCCGTATTTATCGCTGAAGAGAATCAGAAACAAATGTGGTCGAAACGTTCATTAATAAACATGAGCTATACGCTCGGTCGGACATTATCGTTAAATATCTCCGAAAGTAATTCTTTGTTCTCTCCGGGACGGTTTTTAACATTCACGGAACGCTGTTCTTTCGAACGTCTGCATCGCGTAAAGAGAGAATCGAGTGTTACCACCTACCAGCGCAGCACCGTTAAGTTGCACACACCACATGGTCGAGACGTATCGGTCGCGTGTCACACGGCTTAAAAAAGACATTTACCCAGTTTAATCGTGGTCGTGAGCGCGCTTTTTCGACCGTCGGCTTCGGTTAGCTTCCAGGTTCGGCCAACTGTCTCGTCCGTTTCGTGCTTACGACGTAGTTGTACCACGAGACCGTCGGACGTGTTCGAATTCTAAGATTCACCACAGAAATCTGTTAGCAGACGCGCGCGCACACACACTGCTTCCCATACCGGTGGGGAATTGGTTACAGACGATGTAACAGTTCGGACGCCTCGCACGGTACGCGCACGGACGTATCCCGGACACACGTAGAAACAGTTTCGCGATCGTCGTTCGCGATCCCGATGGAAATATTCGCGGAGCACGAGATTCACGGTTGCAGGACGAAAGGAAAGGAGAGGTAAGGAAAGGAAAGCAGGACGCAGAGTGCAACACGCACGGCAGACGAAGGAATCAAACTCGCGTGAGGCGCCAGGTGCGAGCGGACGATCGGTCAAACTTGAACGAGTGCACTTTTACGCGACGAAGATATATTGTGTCCGTTGTCGCACGCTGACCGCTCCCCCGTCACTGCGTGCGACTGCTTTCTAGCGACGAACGGGTCGATTAGCACGAATTTCATTGATACACACCTCTTATGACCTAGTAACAAGAACGTCTTCAGGTGCACATCCCGTACGTCGCACATACGTGTACATTCGACACTGCAGAGCCACTGAACAGAGCGCCGAGGTTAGGGCATCGAAGTGGGGACACCTGTTCGACATCCGTGGTAACACTTTCTAAGCTCTCTGACGACGGTGCGTGGACCGCCTATCGATAGCCGCCACGATCGTCGACGTACATACGCACAATCGAGAGCCTCGTTGTCACAGTTGAGATTTATCGTGCCGCGAACAACTGTTCTGTGTACTCCATTCGCGGTCGACTCGCTCTCATTGATTCCATTACGCCGACCGTTGCGCCATTCGTGGTCGCTGCGTGAACCACTTCGATCGTTCGTACTCCGTACATGGTAACGGAAGGAATATTTCGATACCAATAGTGGGTAACGGTACAGTGGATTATTACCGACAGCGTTGACAGTGTTTTTTTGCGAATGATTTTGTGATTTCAGATAAATAAATATAAGCAATCCGACATCGTCATTTAGTTTCACTCTACATCCATAAAGTTGGTAAATATTGAAAGTTCAAAGTTTCGGCCAGTCCTGTGGGTAACTTACCCTTTGAATTCCATACCTTTCCAACATTGGGTAAGAACAGACATAAAGTTACTTCCTTCTTTTTCGTACTTCCTGCTACTTGAACTCTCGAGTAACATTATCGCAGGATGGCGGTGGAGGTATTTTTTTTTTATATTTTTTTTTAGACAAGGACAGATATTTGTGTAATAACCAGTTTGTAACAACGGTTTCGTCACATTAAAGATACATTAAACAAGGACAGATGGATATTGAAGCAGGATTATTTAAAAAATGTAGAAGAAACAATAAAAATCAAATATTCGTAAAATATAAGATGAAAGGTTTGGAATTCGAGTGAAAGTAAATGACACGTACAATCGGATATACGTTTTATTGGTCCAGCTGTTCAACTACATAGAACTATTTATAAAACTTTACAAAATGTTCAACGTTTCGTAATTGGGAGACCTTGCATTTATTTACAAGGTGAAGAAGTTACGTTTGTTTGTAAATGTTGGTTTGCAAGAAGCTGGTACGAGATTCCTCGAAATTACATATATATTTATATATTATATAACAGTTTCGGGGGGGAGGAGAGTCGATGTTGAAAGTGACTTTCCTTTTCGAAGTCTATCGTGATTGTGCAAATGCTTTCTGTAAAGCTCAGCCTCTTTTTCTGCTACAAAAGTTTAATACAAGTCTACATAGCAGTTCGAAATCAACAGTCTGTTCTCCCGCGCGAAAAACTTTTCTTAACGCCTTACGGGCTTAACGACGCTCCCGCTCCAACTTTTCCAACGGTCGTTTCATCTCTGTCTGTTATAGCTTTACTTTACACCTCGTTTTATAAGCGTACATTTAGTTACGTTCACAGTTATCGAAACGGAACACGAATAAAAGTCGGAGATACGGTTTACAATGTTTACATTTTCCAAGACGTTCCCAAGTTGATACAAAGATTTGGGAAGCGAAAGAAAATCATAATACTGGGGTGATACAATTTTGCCCGTCGCTGTCTAATCGTAGGAATTCTGAATTTTTTGCTTGGTATAGATCGCAGACTAGATCTCTGGTCTGTGGTAGGTAGAAAGCTACGAGGGTAAAAAAGAGATTCGATCTTGGTGTTATTCTACGAGTACAAGTTAATTCTATAACGAGTGAATTTGTTGGTTCGCGTATTACTTGTTGCACACTCGGAGTTACATTTAAATATCTGATCTTTAATAACATCGTTGAACGAGAGATATAAGTATGCTGTTTGTGTGTGTGTGTGTGTGTGTGTCGAGGATGTTTATGTTGGTAGTGTTCTATAAAAAAAAACTGGCAGTATACGAACAATTCACCACGGAGAAGAATGAAGAAAGTCGTAAACACCTCGACGATTGTTCAAATAAATATATTCATCAGCGGTATGCAACATTCCGCGTCGTTTGCTTAAATAGGCGAGATTTTGATGTCTAAATTGTTTGATAAACGAAGACAATTGATGAAGGAGTACTCGATTCAGAAGGCTAAACAGTATAGAATATAAACAATTATTCGTACAATTCCTTAAACTCGGTAAACATTTTCGCGGTATTTCTGGTTCCTTTCATATGTTTCGTTAAGTGCGATGCTCTTTCGAAAAACGCTTCAGAGGCTCAGGCAACCGTAACGTACGATAAAGTCTATTATGTGAAAACGATTTCTCTCTCTTTTTTATTTTTTTTTTATAATCAAACGATCATCGCTCGTCAGTCGTGTAAACTTAGAACGCCTAATATTCAGGTACTAATCACTTTACCGTTTGACGACTGAATTGGCGTAGAAAAGTTTGTGGATCATTCCTTTACGCGCTGGTGGAAATAGAATGCTCTAACGTTCGATCGGTTGCAATTTCTATCAGAATCGGGGCGAGTCCTTAACGAGCTACGGATAGAATACATGTCGAGGGGTGTACAATTTTTCGTCGAAACTTTCTCGAGTTTGTTTCCCGTTACAGACATTAGAAAGGAAATAGTAACTGTCCCCCTAACAGAGACGACCGCGACGATTGAGCTTCCAGATACATACGCGACGAGTTACGTGTAGAAACATTTGTCGACGAGACGAGAACATCGTAATCACTTGCTTCGTCACAAATGGGTATTTGATTTGTTTGTTTCTGTTGAATACAATATGTAATAATTGTTCCTAAATTGTACTTACTTTCGAGGTTTCTACGTACTGTATCTTAAACATAAACGAAGTCTCTAGCGATTCATGTGGCGATCTTGGAGACCAGCTCCATTTTCTAATATATTTTTCTCTCTAGAAACTTAACTTTGCCCATACCGCCGATTTCTCATTCTCTCTTTCTTTCTTTTTGTTTTTTTTTTTTTTTTCTTTAATATCTAAGTGTTACTTTGTGAACACACACGGGAGGGAAATATCGATCCACTCGTAACAATTGGCACGCACGATATTCACGCGAGAAGGTATTTCTAAATATTAATTTTCAATCGCTTAAAGTTCAAAAACGCAAAACGATTCGACGAGAGTTACTGGATCATTGGTACGCTTTCGCTTCGGATATCAGTGAAATTTTAAAAGATGGAAATTTTTCAAAATTTACCTAGAGCGTCGACGATCAACTCTTTCAAGTATTGGAAGCGGTAAAATATTCGAAAGTCTGGAATTTCGTGCGATGCGAGAACAGCAGGAGCAAGTTATTCTTAACAATTTCGCGAGATCGATATTCGAAAAACGTTACGAAGAGTTAATTTCAAAAATTAGCGAAAATACCTAGACATATATCGAAACTGATAATTCATGGTACATCACGGAGAGACAGATACTTCCCTCGCAGTAATATCGTAACTAAGAAACCATTAACACGAATAAGTATTTCCCTAACTTACTTTGATACTTTAATCGTAGATCGGATAGACTACATAAATTCCATTTACATACACATAAATACCATCGTGTATTTAGCATAAAACCTCTTCACGGTGCTTCAACAATCTAAGATTCATTTTCCTAATTTTCTCACAGTTCCCTTCCATTCGCGTTTGATTGTAAAAGTCATTTTGATTAACAACGGTATCGGAGGTGCATTTTTAAGCTAATAATATCATCCCTTTAAAAAACGTTTGGATCCAAACATCTCGCGAGACATCGTCTTTTTCAACCAACACCGTTCGTACCGCGAGCGGTATGTTTCTTGTGCGTAATAATTTGGTTCAGTAACAAGTTCGTTTGGATCAATTTCTGCGATCGTTACCTTCGAACACTGACCTACGCGCGAATGATATTTTACTGTAATAAAACTTACCTGAACGATTTAGGGAAATCTGCGCACTCAGTGTGCACTCCGGTCTAAAGAAGCTTAGCTGGACTGGAATGCAACTCTCGGCATGATTCGACCAAATTGTTCCCGCGTGTTTACTACGAGATCGAATCGAAAAAATCCAAACCAATTTTCCGGCGAACGCGACGTCCCGTATCCTCAAAGTATCGCCGCTGGCGATCAAGTTTCGATTTGCGTCGAATCGCGAAGTACGGTATGCCGTAAACAAACACCCGATGAACACGTGAATTCGAAATTTACCGACGAACGCAATCGCCGTAGTTTAATCGGCGGTAACCTTATACGAGGCTCGATGGCGTTGACACGCATCCCTGCCCCGTCATTTGCCAATCAGTCCAGCCGCGCGCCATCGAGTTGAATCGAATTTCCGATGATGCGAGATTTTGATGTCGGCCCCTGTGGTCCAAATACCGTGTCGCGATAACAGCTTCGGCATTGTTCACGGATATCGGCGCTCACAAAAGATCGCCTCGATCGACCGAACCGACGAGCTTGCTTTGCTGCTCTCGACAGGGCACGCAGTAATTGTAGCACTAAAACCACAGAGGCCCGAGTAAAAAGAAGAATAAACGATTGATTTCTTCAGGCCGTGTGCACATTAATAATCTAATAATAAATAAACCAAAAAAAAAAAAAAAAAAAAAATAGTTTCACGTTTTCGATCAGTGTTTCTTTTTGATTCGAGCTCTCTTCTACTCCAAACATTACCCCTAAGAGATTCATATATGAATTTTGATCGGAACGTTCCTATTCTTTTATTTCTCGTATCTCATAGAAAGCACAATCTATAGGTACATACTTCGCGCCTCTTTATACAGCAGTCCTGAATCATGTACAGTCGCGAAGCTCCTCGTATCGATAAAGTCTCTCGATGTCTCGGAATCGAATATTCGAGGCATGTCGCTACGAATCTTCTTTTCTCTTCTTCGTGTTTCGATGGTTGTAGCGCGAATACTCTCCGTTGCATAATCAGCGAAACCCTCTATCTCGACGATACTCGATCCGATTGCCTAAAGACAACGTCGACAACTTTCGAGAGACCTCGACGTCTCCGATCACAGTCTCGATCGTCAACCAGTATTTTAAACTTTCAAGTCGAAATCATTGTTATAGGTTCACTCGCGGAGTCTTAGACGCTAGTGGTGATTTGTTCGATAACCGTGACGTCGCGATGACGTCGCGGTCGACTCCTGTACGAATCCTGATGGCTAAGGCCCTCGGGGACGCTCTTGCTGGGTCTCAGGGGCCCGTAGAATTGCGGTTGATAGTAGTGTTCGGTGGTGTGCTGCATCCTCTCCATCTCTCTGTCTCGCAGGTTCTCCTCGATGTCCAGGGGCACGTGAAGCGATTGAGACTTGGGTAGCCGGGGTCTGGGCGGTGGTGGACAGGCGCACGGCGGCGGAACAACCCCCGTTGCGAGGTGAGAACCTGCGAGAACCGGGGACGCGGGCTGTCGTCCCCAGCCGACCAGGAAGAGTAACGCTGCACCGCACAAGGAACTTAACGTGCACGCGTAGTAACCCACCCTTGGGCTGTTCGCGTTCATGTAACCTGAAACATTGAAAATTGATGCGAAGATCGATAGCGTCGCGAATGTCGGCGCTCGTCAAGAGAAGATGCGGATATCTCTAGATATCGCAAATGTGCACTTACCGGTAAGAGGAACTCCGAGAAGAATAGGTAGAGCTTCCGCGGCTTGAACGAGAGCCCAGGACCGTGCGAAATGTCTCGCCCTCAGTCTTTCGAGGGCCAGCATTTTCAAAGAATAAAGGGCACCGCCGAGAGAAGCACCGTAGAGACCAGACGCCAGGACCAGTCCGTGATAACCCTGTACACTGCCCAATGCCACCTGTGCTATGGCTTTCACCGGAAACAGACGTTGAATCGTTAAAAATGTTTGGACATATAGAGCGTTGGCCAAAATTTTGGATAAAGTTCAAAGCTATGCAAAGGTGGGAGATGAAAGGATCGATCGAAAGGTTAAGGATAACATGGATAGTGTTTCACCACATGTTAAACTTTGCTGTTTCAGCGGTACGCGGTGCAGTTTATTTCGTAATCCTCTTACATTGTACGGTCATTAGCGCAGAGCGGAAATAAAGGAACGAAACGGCATATTCCGTGGCTCGTTGAACCCTGATGATTTGTTCGCGATATTCACGATGGGTCTTGGAGAAATTAATAATCGACGCCACGAGCGTTAATATAGGCCTCTTTCCCCTCGAGTATTCGCGTTGCGTGCGACTCGATTCTCCGTTGTTTCAGCTACGAGAATGCTCGCGATTCGAATGCGAAATAGGTCAAGCGCTATGGCTGGAGTCGGAGCGACTGGACAATTGTTTTAAGGTAATGCTGATTTTCTCGCACGTACAGAGGGCAGAGCAAACAGGACGAGATAACGAGACGGTTAACACGGCGAAGACTGCGCGAAGCGAGACGTCAACGACTAATCTCAACTAAGACAACGTTGACGAAGAGCCGAAATAAATACGACTGTTGCGCGTATATAAGACGAGACGACGACGATGACTAACGCGAAACGAAATTACAATTTCTCTTTCAGTGGTACAGTTCATCTCGTACGGGTTTAACGACGGTGTCAGTAGCGAACTCGATTCAACGCGACGCGTATAAGCCGGTTTTTGGTGCCGGGGACTCTTTCTCGGTTGTATATTTAACTCTCGGTCTCCTTTTCGTCGTGAAAAAGAGTCGGTTCGCGGCAGAGAACGCACACGCGTCGCTCGCGGCTGAAAATACGGTTTTTCGCTGATTACGAGTTACGTTCGTTGGAATTTTTGCTCGTACGTTTTGCATTTCAACCGTTGTCTCCGGCTGGCTGAATGGTTGTACCGTTACGCGACGTCGATACACCTGCGGTGGTTGGAAAGTTGATAAATAATTCAATAATCCAGAATCAAATATCGGGAAAAATATAACAAACAATATTAACGTTTCAGATATCGAATATCGAGTTGGTAACGAACAGCTTTCCCGTAGTAAAAGTTTATTCGAATCGTAGCAAGTAATTGTTTATTGCGCGTACTCCATCGTTATAGACCCTATTACGCTATTCCCTTTGTCTGGCCACGCATGCCAGTATTCCACTTGTTCGACCACGAATGGCACACTATTCTGCTTGTCTGCTCGGGCATGGTCATATTCTACTTGCCTATCCAGATATGACCCTCGTTCTAGCTGTCCAGCCATGTGTATGACACTATTCTGCCCAGATAGAACCTATTTCGCATGCCCCGTAAATACACTCCTCCCCTGTTTGTCTGCTCGTTAGTTGATTCATTAATTTATCGAAATTTTTAACGGAACAATCTTAAACCATCCTCATTAACGTTACCCTACTCGTTCGACCATATAAATCTCAACCTCCAAACTTATTCCCCAATCGCGTACGTCTTACTCTACTTGTCCGACTATGTACGTCCCATTCTACTCGTTCTCGCAGGTACAGAACATTTCTCCTACTCTGCTCGCGTTAAATTTCATTACGTAAAGAAAGATCTTTGAGTTCACGTCTCCCCTCTGTCTGTACACGTCGGTATCATCGACGAGCATACGTTTCAGTATTTCACTTCAGTCAGTATTATCCCCGTTAAACTAGATGTCTTACGCAAGCAATACCGCAGCCCTTCTATAACTTCAACGAACCGCCAGACGTGAGATTTAAACCACTCCACTTTGCCCCGACACCTCGAAGCTAGCTCATTTTCAACAAGGCGCGCGCTGTCAATCGTCTTTCCCCGGAAACAGCGAGGGATGAAAATTTCACGTTCGGCCGCGCGCCACCGATAAAGTATTCCACGCTCCTCAAACATACCACGGTTAGTTCGTCGACCGCCATGTCCCGTATTCTTTGGAACTATCCGCGGCCAGGAAGTCGCTTTCCAGACGGTGGAATCTATTAGTAGGTGTCCCAGAAAGCATTCCCACGCTTCGAAGTGGTAAATTCTTCTTAATATGAGATAAATATTTTAGTAACATAAAATTTTGATGTACATTTCGGACTTCTTTACGGAGAATCATCCCAGGGCCGTACCACCCTTCGTTAAACGTTCCAGCCGTAACTATGGTGAAATACAGATTCGTATCTTCCCGGAGCGAAGAGACAAGCTCGACCGACGCCGACGGTCCGTGATCGCTTAGCGTGTTGTGCTTTCGTTTCGAAAGTTCGTCGGCCGGAGGTTTCTAAACGTGGCCGTCATTCAGTCGGGGTAGACGGAGTATTCCCTACCCCTTCCAGGGCTTCTATCAACCTTTTGAAGCCGGCTAGCTCTTCGAGTGTCAGCCGCATATACGCGTCTTTGGCCCCCATTCAGTCGGCTCACCCTCGGCTCGAGTTCCCGACACAAAGTATTTTCCATTCTGTCCCCAGCCACCGTCCTCGCCCACCTCTCGATTCCTCCTCCCTTTCCCGACGTTCTTTGCGTTGGTCACGGAGGCAAATATCGCGGAGAGCGCGGTCGCAATCGTTAATGGGCTACCTCCTAACAGGGGAGGCGCGTTTTAAAACGCTGGCGGAATTGAATCGATTCGCGTGTTTCAATTATCGAAATGAACCTCGACATAAGCGAATAACGCGAGCAGAGTAGGAAAAATGTTCTGTACCTGCTAGAGCTAGTAGAATAGGATGTACATAGTCGGACAAGTAGAGTAAGATGTACGCGATTGAGAAATAAGATCTGGGCTTGAGATTTATATGGTCGAACGAGTAGAGTAACGTTAACGAAGATACTTTTCGATTCCATCGATACAAGGATGGCCACGAATTAAACGTATCCGTAGCATCGACTACCTCGAGCTTTATCCGCTCTGCGCACTCACGCGGTCACCGCTTTTCGGTAGATAGAGCAAAGTTCTACTAACTTAAACGTTACGGTGCTATAACGTGTTATATACTGACCAACTCCTAGAAGTGCCGCCTGGCAGAGATATTGCCTGGACACCAGACACTGAGCAGATGGTCTGGCGGTAACAACCCCCCAAGCCGCACAGCCTAGCGCCGCAGCCAAGCCCAAGCAAGTCTGTAGGAGCACCACGGCGCTCGCCTCCAAGCCATCTTTGTGTCCCTGGACAGCCTGAAACGAACGTTCCTCGTTAGGAGATTGGACAGTGGTAGCGTTTGAAATACGACCGGTCGTGCCATAGGTAACGCGAATTCTCTTTCTTGTTTCTGGACGATAGCAAACACGTTGGGCGCAGACGGACGATTCTTTCTCCGTGACCGATGGGTTTCGTTCAATTTCCGTCGAGATATGACTTTGTCGCGTCGCTCGTGGGATGACCCGATAGTGCAGGAAACTGATGGCCGATACCCAGAACGCGGAACAGTTTCGTTAATTTTCGGTTGGACCGAAACTCGACGACTCCTGGTACGTTTGCGCGCGCAACGAGCGAATCGCAATCCCGCGCAGGGCCGTTCGCGATTATGAGCGTGTAACCTGGCTAACTCTGGTAAAACTTTGTTCGACTACGAAGTTGGGAACTGTTGCCGCGCGTTTGATTGCCGCTGTTGAGGATACGCGCGGCGTGCTCGCGGCAGTTTGATAATTGTGCACCGGAATGGTCGAGCTGCTCCTCGCCAAGTGGTCAATGATCGAGTAGCGGGTCTATCGTTTGAGTTTGCAAACTCGAGATTTGAATGATGCGAGGACAGTCTAATCGCGGCAAAAGACAAACGGTATTCCGATATAACGGGCTCGCGGCGGAGCAATCTCTTAGCGATCCGAGGGACCGATTCGCCGGGGTAGTTTCTTAACGAGCAAAAACGATAAACCCTAATTCGTCGATTCGGTGGATCCTGCCCTTCAAAAGTAAACTCTGACACGATACCGGCGATTATCAAACTAATTTCCGTTAGCGTATTCCGTGCTGGTTAAGGAAACAAGGAGGACCGAGAGCGCGTCGCGAAACGCGGGATGCTTAGCATACTCACGATGTAAAATGCAGGAGTGTAAAGGCCGAAACCAGCGGCTCCAGCGGCGAGCATTAACATTCTGACAGGACGACTTCCCAGCGGACTGAGATCCACCCACGGCTGCCTGGGCACTCTAGTCGCGGTCTTCTTCTCTTTCAGTTTACCCCGTTGATTCTTTAGGTGTAATATGGCCCGTCGTTGGGGATGATAGAGCGAAGCACTCCTGTAAATCAAGCCCAGGAAGAAGGCCAGCGAGAGAGCTCCGGTTACGGACTGCATACCACGTTCCCAGCCCAGCTTTCTGAGAAAACAGCGCGTCGTTACGGTTACAGAAGGGAATTGCCCTTAAATCAAGCTACATAAATTTTCTTTTCATATTAAACTGCTCTCCGGCGCTGCGGGCCACGTTATTAGGTCCGGATAAATACCGTCGCAATATCTGTCGATATATCTCGGGAAATTCCTCGCGAGTTCTGGCCGATCTTTATCTCCGACTGCCGACGGAAATGTTTTCAATGTAAACGTTACCGCGGTGTGGTTACTTCGGACCTATTAAACTCGAGTGTTTCTTTTGTATTAAACGCTCGAGCTTCGTCAACGTTGATATTATCTCGCCTCTTAACGCTGTAGTAATTTTAATCGATCTCTCTTTAGACCTGTTCGAGTTCGATTTTAATCCGGCGAGAAGAGCTTTCGAGTATTACGCGAGAACACCGGCTTACTTTACGTTTAATTTCCATAAATCCCGATCGTGAATCAAGGGGAGTTCGCGTTACGTCGAGTTTCGCTACTCTTTCGCGCGAACAACTTCTCGAGTCGAGAAGCGAGACCACGAAAGAACGCTCGCGAGCGATTTCCACGCGAAAGAAAAGAACTTGTCGCGTTTCGAACGAGTTCGCGCTTTCAAACGGGAACACCAGAATTTATTACAGACTGTCGCGGGAAAGGAAAAAAGTGGCGCTCTTTTCGGGAACTGGAAACACCGATTCCTTTAATAAAATTACACTCGGTGCGCGAGACACGGTAGCGACCATCCAGTTCGCAAACTGCTAGCCACAGTTTCGTCCTGGGGTCAAAGCGACCGCAAAGTTCATAACGCGAGAAACGGCACGAAACATCAGCGACGTTTCTATATCTAGAGAGCGCCAAACGAAATAGCCGGAAGCCTCTCGCGCTCTTGTTCCAGCCTAGCTTTAAACTTTACACGACGAAATCGTTTGCCGTTCTGCGAAATGACAGAGAAGCCTTTCTCGCTCGTGCTGGCGAGTGGCTGCTGCAAACGATAACCATCTTTGTACCTCGCTTGTTTGACTAAGTACCAGGGGTCTGCTTGCGGTTCGTATAAATTTCGGCTGCGCGAAACTTCGCTTTAATTGTATCGCGGCAAATGTACTCGTTCTTCGTATCCGATCATGCGGATACGTGGCAAACATAATAATCGCGAGGACGTAAAAAATAAATAAATTTGCATCGTTGTAAAATCACGCGTATCGCTGAATAAGATTTTTATCGTTATCGTGAAGGCAAAGTACGCGGACGGATTTATTTCGCTTACCTGGCTTATCTCGCCGAGGAACGAAACTAGGATTTTTCGGGCGCAAAAACTCTAGACGAGAACAATAACCGTCTTCGTTCGTCGCTTCGCGCCGAGTGAAATTTGCGACGCTGCTCTCGTGGAACGTTTACGACGCCCCCAGGCTCGATGAAGTACACTGTTCGCCACCGTGTCACCTCGTGAACGCGGATATATATTTCTTATGAAGCGAGAGTATCGCCTTACGCGGCTCGCGCTGTTACAGCATAATAAATAACAGGTGACGAGGTATTACGATCGTCGGGTAACACCGGGACGGTATATCAAACGGGTAACACGTGTCGGGTTAATACCGTACTTATACTACTGGCTGACGTTGTTCCGTTTCGAAGCACGTGTAAGCGCAAGTTCTCGCCCACGAGTAAACGGTTTCATTGGTTCAGTCGCGAAGCATGATTAAATTCCGCGTCTTCTTGTTACCCTGCTAACGAACAGTCGTTAGACGCGTTTTTACGACGCTTTCAGGTTTATTGGACGCAGAATATTTACGACGATATTTTACAGCCACTTTCACGAATTTCTGGATACGCCGCGCTGAATTTCTACTTCGCCTTCGTACGTTTTGTGTAACGTCATCTTATTCTAAAATGTTCGTAGATTATACCTCACGTGCTCGAAACTCAAACAAGCCGAAAACCTGGTACTCGTCTCTATAGGCTGCGAGTCTAAACATAATTAACCTAACGAACTCTTCGTTTAAAGTAATTAAGCGAAGGAGAGGAACTCGAGCAAGAAGAGTAGATAATTTCCGCGCACGAGTTTGAACGAAATTTCCTTTAACCCGTTGGTCTCCGCCACGCTTCTTTCGATTGTACGCGACGAACAGGAACATTTGCGCGATGATTAATTAGCCTCGTTCGTCATTCCATATCTATTTCATATTCTAACACGTTATCGTCTCGGGGAAAGCAACATTTTTCAATGCGCAACGGGCAGACTTCGCGTTCGTTACAATCCCAGAATTGAGCGACGCTACATCGATTGGCATAGAGACGAGATTGGCTCGATCGTTGATCGATCGAACGTCGAGGAACGTTTGATGGATGGGACTACGCACTTGACCGAAACGAATGTATCGTCTCGATGCTCGGTCGCTTCCGTGTCGTTTCAAATGCGGGATACGCGGATTAAATGTTCCCTTCATCCCATTTTTCCTTTCTCTCCAACGCGTTGCGCGTGGGCGATAGTTCGGTTCTCGGAGATAGAGGCCAGTGTCAGATTTATCGCGTGCGTGGGACAGTGCGGTAACGTTGCGCGAAAAATCTCGTGGGCGTGTTTCCCTGGTAACGCGATCCGACGTAGGCGTCAGGATCCACGTGTGTTCCGTGGGGTACTTCTACGTGTGTGCGTCACGATTCCTCGCAACCTACATTTCGCGGTGAAGAGTTCCGCGTCGAGAGTTTTACCCGAGAACTCCCGACGTCGAGACGTTTTGACAGAGAAACGTCTCATTGAAAGCCGTCGGAGCCGTGCGGTCGAATGAATTCGTAATCAAAGTTGTTCGAGTAGCATCTCGAAAATTGTACGAGTTATGCTAGAGGAGAAACGCAATTTTTCCGGTCGAATGAGTATTTCATTTCGAGAAACGTGCATCGATTCGTATCGATACGTTATCGCGAACCCTTGGAAAACGAACGGGAACAAAGTTTGGCCGTTAAAAGCGAGTTCCGCTTAATTCGATCGCCGCCGTCGCGAAACGGCGCGAACAAGGAAATTAGAGGAAACGAGACTCGAATCTTTAACAACGAGTCGTATTATTACGCACGGCTCGAGGCGGGTTTCTGGCCGTGTCTTTATGTTTCGGGAAATTAGCGAAAATGAAATTGTATCGTTGCCGGCTAATGCAGCCTGGCGGTAATTAGGTGAATTTGGGCCGCCACGTTGTCAGAATATTTACGAAATGGAGGGAAATGAAACTGGACGGTTAAAAGTGAACTCGGTTTCGTGGGAATATAGATCTCTCGTTGCAGAATAAGAGAACTCAACTTCCATCGTTGCGAACGAATATTTTCTTTGCTTCGCTACCAGCTTCCTTGCCGTCTCGATGCGATTATCGAACATCGCCATCTCGATTCGGATAGCTAATACTTTGTTCCTCTGGATTTCTAGATACCCGCGGAAAACTTGAACGCTGATGTTATACGATTGTCGGTGTTTTTATTTATGGCGAATGTACCGCGAGCGTATCTCGAACGTCTTCTCTGGAAGAAGCACGCTATCTCCTACGTATGTTGCACCTGCAATGCAGTAGATTCACGGTAACCGCGGACCACCTGTCTAGAAACCGAGAATACCATTAGCGTACCGTTCAAGAATTTAAATCGATACATTTCTTTTGAATCGAGAATACATTCCGATAAAAAAAAGTATTTCTGAATTTTAGAAATTAAATGTTCACATTTCGAGCAGCAGAAGGAAAACCGAACTCGAAGGGATAAGACGTTTCTCGTCGAAGATACTCGAACGGAGCTCCGAGACATCTTATCCGCTGACCAGATTCAAACGTCCTCGAACCCTCGTTTGGGATTTCTTTCCACTCCGTTTCTCCGCGATCCTCGAAATTTAATTACGACTACGCTCTCGATCGGATTTACAATTTCTACGCGTTTAATTAAAAGCATTCTACGAAGAACCGTATTTTTTTCTTTTGTTCGTCGGCGGAGCGTAACATCCGGTCGGAGACTGTGAACGATCCATTAACGCAATTAAAACTAATGGGCAAAGTAATTTGTATTGGTAAACTTTTACGGTTCCTAGGATTACGAGTTCTCTAATTGCGTTTCGCTCGAGCGTAACCATACTTTCGGAGCATACAACTAATCCCAGATTCATCGACACGTGTCACGCAAAAGTTCGTCGACGATTCAACGAATCGCGATCGGGATTTTCAAACGAACCGTTTCATCGACTGGACAGAGGGAAGGGGACGTGTACTTATGTTAGGTGGAATTCGCTGTGCACGGTTTCACCGTTCGTTAGCCGCTAGAAAACAGGCACTTTACGCTCGTGGTAACGCGTACGACAAAACCGAAGCTGACCCGAAAGAGCAGCTTTGTTCGCGGCGTGTTCGAGCTCCGAGCAAAATTTCATCCGCCGCATTCTACGTCGAACATCGTTGTTTGTCGATACTTGCCAGACATCCCTGTGTGATCTTCTTTTATCCGTTTAAATTCCACCCCGGGATAAAGGCAGCTGCTCTTCCATTCGCGAAACAATTAGGTTCCGTCGACAGTGAAAAAATACGCTCCGCGGTAAAGCCGTTGATATCGCGAAACTTGACATCGCCCGTACAATCGGCGCTCGTTTCGGAGATTACGAACCTGTTCGAAATATCGATTAATACTGCTTTATTTCCGCGATAATCGCCCGTTTCGTTCAAGAGACGGATTTTTACTTTGTGCGTAAAGTGAGATTTTTAGGAGTCAATTTTATTTGAATTTGGCGTATCCCAATGAAAGCGGCAGAGTTGGTACAGATACATTTTACACCTCGGATTAGATGCTCTAATTCTCCGACTATGTACCGGCCTCGTAAACTAGATAGGACACTGTTATGCTTGTCTGACTAGATACAGGTCGCTTGAAACGAGATATGGAATTATTCCACTTCTGCAACCACGCACGGTTCTATTCTACCCGCTCTACCCATTCGGTTGCTATCCGGTTCTATACGTCTCTTCATAACTGGTTTTGATCAACGAGTTGTACAGCTATCGTCGAATCAATTTTTGTCGTAGGCAATTAAATTCTACATCTCTCGAATTTCCGTTTTTCTAATACGAGAACGAATCGAACGGGGCATCGGCGAAAATAACAATGGAAATATTCGTTCGTTGCAAACGATACGCACGGGTAGCAGAAAACACACCGAACTCGCGCAAGACTATCGAGCAAATTGGCAATCAAGTACGTCCGTCGAGGGAACGCGAGAGGCGCGGTGATTTCCAGACCGACGCAAAACGCGAGCAACAAACATCAACGACGCCGACGCTCCGGTACGAAGGCCCCCATTCAGCGCATCACCGCGTTGTCGACGAAGCGCAGGAAATACAAGTAATAACTTACCCGACAGCCTCCCTGTAGAAGACGCTGAAGAGTACTATTCCCACTCCCGCGCCAGCTTGCACTACCATCTCGACGAACTCTCGTCGTTTTCTGAAGTAATGGCCCAGCACCAGACCGGCAGTTTCTCTCACGAGGCCAGCACCGGTTCCCAGCACGAGCCCGTAGCTGTTACATTTTGCAAAGGTGAATCGTTTGAGTTTGCTGCCAGTGGGAACGCGCGCGCATTCGTCGACCGAGGGAATTGGTTGACGATTCTTACTGGGAACGAACGAGAGTGAAACGTTTCGGACAGGTGCAACGTGGCAGGGGATGTGGAAACGCACGAGCCAGGGTAAAGTTTGAAGAGCGTCGCGTTTGGGATTTCGAACGACGATTCGGCCCGTTCTTGCGGAAATCGGGAAACAGTATTAATTATTCCTTTCGGGAAATGCCCGTACGGTGGTTACGTGTACCAACGTGTAACTCTGGGAGTTTGTTCGTGATAGCAAATAAACGACAAGGCTCCTTCGCGAACGAACGTAATGGAAATAAGTGGGATTATAAGAAATGTCGACGTCTAACGTGGGATCGCGATTGCAAAGGCTCGCAATTTAATTAACGAGAAACGTACCAGAGTGCCGCTTAAAGAAAAAGCAAAATCTCTCGTCACGCGAATCGACCTTCCTCGGGACTCACGGTCAAGGCTTCCAACGAAGACCGATCGTTTCCGATTTAGTACCCGAAGGGCTACATTTCAAGGGAAACGTTTCCCTTGTCGCGTGTCTAACGTCGCTCGTTCCCGCGTCTTTGTTCGCCGTGTTTGCCATTTTTCACTTTGTCGAGGACTCTGTTTGCGAAATAAATTACCAGCGGGCTACGGCACGACGCGGAAACTCGTCGGCTGTAAAAACCGCGGCTCGCCGTGCACGGAACGTTAATTTGTCTTGCGTTCGCCTCGGATGAGAAATACAAAGGTATACCTTAATTGCTAGCGAAAACAAATTCGCGAGAAATAGTTTTCGGAGACCCGTCCAAGCAACGTTTTAACGCATAATTAATAATTAATCAATTACGAACTTTGTGATGCGAAGCAGACGTCCCAGGAACTTGTCGGAGATCTCTGTACATTAATTTAGTCTTCGCGTATGCAGTTTCTTGGGTTCGGAAGTTATATTCGTGTCGTAGAGAGGACTTGAACTATTCGTAGAGGTACGATGTTCGCGAAAGTAAATTGGAAGTCGTCGAAGCGAAAGAAGAGAGAAAGACGTTTGGCCTGTTCTGTCTCGGAAGGAAATGGATCAACGTTCGTTACACGTTTGTATTTTAATCAGAGCACGGTCTAAATATTTTTGGCAACAAATTGAAACGCGAACTATAGTTCCGTGGAAAGTCTGGCATCTCCTATTGTCATCGAAGAAATTGGCCAATTTCGCTGTTACGACGCGAATACAGGGCACTCGAAGAGGAAGCCGGTGGTCCAAGCATATGTAGATTTACCGGCGACGGGCTACGTCAAATATAGACGATTTCAGACTTGCGACCGTTTCGATAACGTACATCTCGCGGTCGTCGATATACGGTTAAACACACCCGTGTATCTAGCGTGCAGCCTACAAACAATTAGCGAAGATCCCTTCCGCAATGGAAACACCGTCTAGCTGGGTGATATCGGATCCTGCGGTATCGGAATTATCGCAAACGAAGGGTGACGTTTCGTGTTCCGCTAACACCGTTAGCGTTGGCAGTAGTTGGTTTAATCCGCGATGGCAGGTCGCCGTTAAGGCGATCAAGTGACTTCTTACTCACCTAAGGAGTACCTGGTGCACCTCGACGGCGAACGAGGTGAAGAGGGACGCCAATGCCAGCACGAGACCGCCAATCACTGCCGTAAGCCTTGTACTTCCTCGACGACACGCGCCGACGACCAATGGAGCCGAACCACGGGAGACCGCAGCACTCAACGCTCCCACCCACGCTGAAACATTAATTCGATAGTTACTTAAGGATACGCTGGTAAACACTCGAGAGAGGGGGTATGCACCGAGCACTTTCTACGCTCGTGTATCTTTACCGAAACGTGTAAACAGCCTCTGGTAACGGTGGTTTATTATCGGAAATTTAATTTTCAATTCAGAACGTCGCCTCGAGTGCTCGAGGAACCCGTCTCGGTCTCTTCGACGAGCCCCCAAACAAAATTTCAATTAGAACTCGGAAAATAAAAGGTAACCAAAAGTCGCGCGAGATACCTCATCGATTACGATCGCTTTTCTAACCGCTAGAGCAATTATTTATATTACTCCTTGTCTCGGATAGCTCGGTTTATACACGTTATCGCAATTTCCTAGCTCGTTATTAAATTCCGTAACACTTGTTCGCTGCAAGTAAAGTTTAACTAGGAGACAGACCTCCGGCTTAAAATTTATCCGTCCCGTCGGCGTCTGGGCGAGTATCTCTCGCAATTTATTTTCATATCGAAATTACACGGCGCGGCAATTGCCGCGCGGGATTAAATGCGGACGATCCCGAGGGTGTCCAATCCACCGGTGACGTTCCCTTTGCAGGCGAACGTCGACGTTCTAACGAGAGACTTTGACGGCGTGACTTCGTAAAGTGGCGCGTCATTAAACAAAACGGGAAAGAAGAGAAAGGGCGAAACTAGCTTAGGAGGAGAGGAGAGATCGGGTCTCGTTTAGTTGCCTGCTGGCGCACGATGGAGCGAGGGAGGGTGCAGTGAAATGTTCCCGGCATTTCAAAAATTGTGTACAATCTCGAACGCGCTAGGCACCTGCTCGCTCCTTTCGCGAGCGGTCTATAGAATTTTCGTAGCCAGACCTAGCGAGCGTAGCGGCGTTGGCGCTCAAGTTATTCCTCTTTTACGGTTAATTAGGAGACGGTGAGAACGGCCCGGTGCAATTCAACCGGCCAATTCGTGTAATTAAACGCGGGACAGCCTTTTTGTGTTATGATTTTCTAATTAGTTTCCTCGGTGAAAAGCTTAGAGTCGTGGAAATCTGCAACGCAACGCGGGAGAAACTTCCATTTTCCCATGGTTTATTTTCCATCGCTCCACGCGACATCGACGTTCGAGACGACGCGGGGCAAACGACCAGGTGGAGTCTTCCGGCGTGCGCGAGCTATTCGGGACTTTATTGTTCGAGGACGCGCTCGTTAGAGCAACGATCCCGGGGAACAATATAGAAGAAACCTCGGGAGATTTCGCCACGGGAACGCAGAAGTAATTAACGATTCGAGCGGAACGACCCTCTCCCTGGTAGCAAGCATTAATTAAAGTAACGTTGTTTGCTCTCGCGAGCTGGGATTGTTGTACTCGTATGACCGGGTACGAGGCGTAGCGGTATGCCTGGTACGGACATCCACTCCTCTGTCATGGCACGATTTCATTCTGGTCGGGAGGATGGATGGTGTTGCGTTTCACTCGTATACCCTTTACAATTCCGCGTTACCTACATGGATAACTAACACGACGTTCTATCTATTCGTTTAAAAACGATCACCGACGCGTCGCGCTCGTCTGATCATAGTCGACCGTATCTACTGACGTCTCGTAATCGTTTCGTTACCTCGGCGGTTCACGGTATCAAGTATTTATTGTTCTTTCATCAAGCAGACGCGAACTTCGATCTCTTTCTGATCGATTTCTGCGGAAGATTCCAGATGTTTCGCGCGGTAATGCTTACTGCATTATTCATCGACCGGGTTGAACGTGCTTCCTTTATTCCCGCATCCTTCTGCCTAGGTCCCCCGTCCTCCATTTTTCTTTCTCGTTCGGCGATAGCGTGGAACACCGGAGCCAGGAGAAACTTGGTCAATAATTTTCGCGGGTATTAAACGAACGGGAGGGCTGCGACGTGTTCTCATCGATTTCTAGTTAGGCCGTGAGATACTAGCGAGACCTGATAACGCCGATAAGCACGGGCCTCCGATGCGGTTGGGAAGTTAACGAGACCCTCGTCCGTTCGAGGTTTCTTCCGTTCTTGTTTCTGGAACAAGGCCCTTGAAATTGCTATTTTGATTTACATCCACATCTACAAACGACTGTTCTATCGCTTTACAAAGTACCGAAAGAGAAAAACCGAGGAAAGAACGAATTTCCCTAAACGCGAGACAAACGTTTCTGCTTAATTCTTCGAACGTTCGTATCGAACGATGTTTCCTCTGGAGCGTAGATTTCTTTCCGAACTCGAGGTGCGCGAGTAATCATATCGCTTGGAAAAACATCCGGAGAAGTTCCGAGAGCGAAAGGTTTCGTATCAGATTTTTATCGTTGGAAGTTCCCGCGAGTCCGTGATAAAACTCGCAAACGAACGCGAACGGAAGAGCAGTAGTATCAGGGGGTCGCGTTTAAAAAGCAACCAACGAAAGCGAGATTTACAATCTCTCCATCTTTTTCGCATGGGACCGGAACCGTTCGAATCAGTTTCGAGCGACATTTCCGCGCGTAGGAAATTCCTTTCGCACGCTTTGTTCGGTTTCAATCTCAAACCCGCAAGTGCCTGGAAACTGACCGACTTTGACCCTCTGAGAGAACCTCGTTTCCCGTGTTTCCTTGTCCCTTTGGTAAATTTAGAGCAGTTCGAATCGCTGGCAGCTACGTTGTTCCCGAAACTTGGCCGTCGCGAACTTTTTTATCATTTACCTCGGCTCCGTGTCCGACTCGATTCTCGTTTTGTTCGCCGCAAGACGGACTAATTCTCGGCGAAAATTATTTTGTCCACTATCGATATCAGACGGTTATCGCATCCGAGACTCGGCACGCAACGATCGCGAAGGGATGAAACGAAGCGTCGATCGGTGCGCGTGTCACGGAAAATAGGAATTTTCGTTAACGAAGTCTTCAATTTACGCGCCTGTTCGGCCGTAAGGCGCGTGAATCGTGAATTATTGGCAGCCTGTACACGTGCTTCATCGATTTCCTAGTTCGGCTGGTGAGATGCGCTCGTTCGCCGACAATTTGGAACCGCTCGAGGTCATCGTCCTCCGCCTCTCGATCGAGTTTCTCGCACGGTTCCCAAAGCCCGTTTCTCGCCTAGAATCTCCCCGTTGAAAAGTTTCGCTCGTCGTCGTGGAATCGCGAATATTAATAATCAGCCGGCATTCCTATTAATGTGTTTCTGGCTGGGGAGAAGAACTTTCCTCGAAGGAACTGGATGCTCCCGGAATTCTATTGTTTAAGCGACCATTGTCGTGCGCAGTCTATGAGCTGCCCTCGAAGGAGCGATTAAGGGGGATAGTCCGTTGCGCACCCTTGGTCGAACGAGATCGACGAATAATGTAAAACCTTTTAAAAATTTCGGAGGACAGAGGCCGCGCAGCGGAGGAGCGTTGCGTAAATGAAGTGGTCGAAAAAGGCAACGAAAACACGCAAATTGAAACGATACGCGATTGTACGCGATTCGTTCGCGTATCGCCGATCGCGAAACAGGGGAAAAACTGAAAAACGAACGACCCAAATACCATTTTCGGATCACGAGTCGCCCTTCGACGACACGAAATCCGCGATATTTGTCCCGCGTTGAAAGCCGTGACGGCGGTGGCAGTTGCATTTTTCCGCGCTCAGTCGCTTAATCCGCAAACAGAGAGTCCCCGGGGAACAAAGATTTCGCTTGGAAACGGTTGATCGATCGAACGTTTGATCTCCTTCGAGGAAGACGCTCGAAACCAAGACATCCGTTCCCAGGCTCGCGGTTTCTTTCGAATCAAACGGGGCATCGGTGCGTCCCATTTAATCGACGACAAATATTTTTTCATCGATCCTCGTCGTTGTTTACCTGGCTCACGGGCAGACCTGACAAGCTCGATAAAACGAACGAACGACAAACGAGGCGTAGAAACAAAGGAAACTGGAACGGCATACAACACCCACCGGATTAATTAAATCGCGTTAGCAAACGCAATTGATCCAGCTACGGTGGTAATTCACGTGCGAAAACGCGGCCGTCGACCGTGCGAAGAATTGGAACTGACATTTCGGTAGCGTCGATGAGGACTTCCCTCTGCGCCGGAGCAGAAAAAACGACAGCATTTTCGAGCGCGTCGAGCGAATTTGCGTGACAGGCCGTATGCGCGAGAGCGATGATGTTATTACGCAAAATAGGGGTACGAGGGTCTCGCCCTCGTGGAATCTCGTCTCTCGCTCGTTATTATTTCACGCCTTATTTCATCCTAATATACAAGAATGCGAGTTATATACGGAGGTACGCCGACGTTCATAAGTCACCCAACATTTCCTCGTCCCCAGCTTGGAAAACGTATCTTAACGTCCGACGTTGTATTCGAATTTAACGTTTGCACAAATACGGTTATATTCGATGACAGGAATCGACGATCGAGATGCCAGTCACGAATGAATAGGGACACCCCACGTGCAACCGCGCGCTCGCCCTGTCGCGATCAATTTAAAATTCCCTAGACTCCGAGAACACCTCGATCGAAATTCATCGCACGTTGCCGCCAAACCGACGCGACGCGACGTAACGACCGTTCGAGTGAGTTGGCGACGTAGAAATCGCGAAAGACATCGATCGTTCCGAGTCATCGAGCCGATCGCGATTCTCCGATTCGCGCGAGACAGTGGTCGACCCTTTCACTGGTTTTCGGATGAAATGTGGAGCAACGATTCTCGTCGGCCGTACAGCCCGCGGCGAGGACATCGAAATAATAGGGCGCCGAAGAAAGCAGAAGGGTCGAATGCGCTGGCAACTGTCTGTGCGACGGTTACCGTCATTGCTGACGTTTCGTTAGCAAACAATTCCGCGGGAAACGGTTCGTCCTGTTCCCAACGATAATCATCGCCCCCGTTCCCTCCTCGTTCGTTCGACTTTCGAGCCGCCGTTGGAAACATTCGTAATATTCGGCCATTGTCCGAAAGTTTGTTGGATCGCGCGTTGAAGGATCCCACGGATAAGGCTTTAGAAATCCCTGCGCCCAGGAGGACCGGGAGTCGATATCCTCTTG